TGTTGAGCCGGCCACGGGATCGGTACTACTAGATGTCAAAATCTTTGCAACTTTTGTGGGTTATTGCCTTTTCCTCTACAACTCTTTCACCGTCGATAAGAAGGGCTCCATAGTGCAGTGGTAGCGATGCCGCTCATGGGACGGTGCACCGAAGGTTCAAACCCGTGTGTGACGCGACTTTTGCAAGCAACGTGGTGGATGCTCACCACTTCACCTATGGCAAATTGCCATTGGCTCAATGGGACGTTCCACGCTGCCGCTGGCAAGGTTGCTGGATCAGCACCGCTTGGAGTCTAAGATTTGCAAACAACATCCATTGCATACCTTTCATCAACATCTCTTCCAGTGGTGTGATCGAGTGATCCCTGGTGCAGTGGCAAAAAACCCGGCTATGAGCCCTACCATCCAGGGCTCAAGTCCGAGAGGGTGCAAGTTTTGCAGGTCGTGTGGCGAGGCTGGCGGTTTCAACTAGGGTCATGTCCATGTTTCCACGTTCTCTATTCCTCGCCAATGGGTGTAAATCACCACATTTGATTGCCAGTCTAGGGCACTTTACTACCGTCCCTGATCTAATCACACACTATCTTTTCCATTACTTTACTAACTGATGGAGTGAGGCACACTGGCCTGTAATTCCTGAAATCACTCCTATTCCCTTTTATAGATTGCCTAACCAAACCCAATCGCCAGGTCGCAGGTACTGTCCCTTTCAAAGGAATTTTGTTGAAAAGATGCGTCTGGGCAGGGGTGACACCTTCAGCAGCTTTCTTGAGGAATACAGTGTGTCCCAAAAGTATAGGACACCCTATTTTTCTTCAATATCTCTATAATGGGCGAATGATTTCTCTCCAAATTTTTATCAACAATGCATTATTACACCACGGTACAAATATATAAATGAAATTGGAAAGAAAAAATCTTGTAGATTTTTTATAATTTTTTTTCTAATCATGGCGTCCCAAAAGTATAGGGACACTTCGGCGTTCAAACTTCCCGAACGATATACTTAATGAAATCAATAATAACAATAATGATTAAAAGTAGTAACATTTCTTCTTCTTTCGATAACTTCAATCATCCGCTTCGGCATGCTTTGGACAAGCCTTGAGATCGTTTCCGGCGATATCTGCTCTCAAGCCTCCTTGACGGCGTTTTTCAGCTGTTTTTCGTTCTCGGAACTGTCTGCAGTTGGCGTAAACGTCCCGTGCGAGTATGCCCCAGAGGTTCTCTATCGCATTCAGGTCAGGTAATTTGTGTTTCTGTCTTGGAACCACTCCAGTGTTGAGACACTTACATGAACGGCTTCGTTGTCTTGTTGGAATTTGAACTTAAAGGAATCTTCCGCGGAAAAAGCTCCGCCTCCATTACCACAGAAAAACGATACCCCTTAGGCCCCTAGCCTCATGAGCATAGCAAAAAGAACGGAACATAAGCGTTAGTTTCGATAATACTAATCCTACACACAAGACAAAATGATCACTCTTTCCGTGGAAGATTCCTTTAAGGTATCGTTTTCTGTGGTAATGAGGGCGGAGCTTTTCCGTGGAAGATTCCTTTAAAGAGTGGAAATCGCTGCATGTTTGGTACCAAATTGTCCTGGAGGATGTTCCTGTAGCCACTGGAGTTCAAGCGTTGCGTGACAAAAACCAGTTCACTCTTACGAAGTTCTGTGAAGGCAACTCAATCCGTGACAGTACTGCCACAAAATGCTGCGGTGGCTGAGTCCCATATCCTTGCAACCCTGAATTTGGCCTTTCTCAAAGTCGTGCAGGTGCATCCTTCGTGGGACATGATGTAGAACAGGTGTGGATAAGAAAGCAATGACAATTTGGTTTCGCAACTCACCTAAGTTCAGAAAAACACGGCAGAAGAACGAGTGTCTATATACACTGCGTTTCATAAATATAGGTCCACCCTAATTTTTTGCTATTCCAAAGTTGCTGTGCATTTTTGGAAAATGCCGCTATTACCAATAGTTTCCCCATAACGAAAAACCTTGATACTTGATTTCTGGAGAAATCTCGATTCAGAATTATTAAAATATCTTCCTTAGAACGTATTTTCACCGTTTCGCAAATATGACTACACATCACTTGTCGAGAGATTTTACTATAACGAAAAAACGTCACGAATTTTCAATAATGGGATGACCCCCCAATAATCATAAGGAACACAATAATACGTTTTGAAATGCTGGTAGCCAAATTAGCTATTACAGTAGGATCGAAATTCGTCTGGGCGCCGATGATCGACCTTTTCAGCTTTTCGGCTGTTCCATTTTGCTTTACTTTGCTGTGGAACTTTATACAATTAAGGCCCAATGATTCTCTATTGGAATCTAATTCAGATACATGGTGGCCACCAGATAACTGCCACATTTTTTCCTGCAATTCCATCTGGCGCGGAGGGACCGGCATGGACAGCCGCGTTATCGTGTGTGAAAATCAAGGATAGAGGGGATCCTTGTTGAAAAAATGGTAAGACTCGCTTCGAAAGAACTTCACGATACCCTGTGGAATCTTTGTGAACGGAAACAAAAGCGAGCTCTAGCTACTCAGTCGTTCAAAGGTGCCTCAAACCATAAGGGATTCTTCCGCCAAAATTACCTTACATCAAAACCATCTGCGATTTTCACGGAACCCTCCTGTACCCTCTTTTTCTATCAGATCCACCTAGAATAAACTTTTTCACGTCGATCTCAGATCACCTGTAGCACGAAACAAGGAGGTAGAGTCCAAGATCGCGAAGGGTCTTAACAGCCACACCATCGCTCATTAAGTTGAGCCCTTTTCCACGGAGAAATGGAGACTTGCGATCTTGTAGCGCTCAAATAATCTTGGAACGCTCTTCATCAATCCGTTGAAGATGTTATTGCTCTGCTGGCTTACTCACCACACGGTGGTTTTGCTCACGGAAGGCCGCATTTCAGTACGGACTTTGTTCGGACTCCTTGTATAATTCGAGAGAAGACACCCAATTCCTCCTAAATTTTGAAGGAAACGCAGTCTTTATTTACCTAAGCGACTCTTCTCTCCGCACTGACCAGGATTTTGCACATAGTCGCTTATGCAGTATGAGCCGGCCGAACATGGGAGGAAATTCTGCTCCTCAGCCATCCCACTTCAGTAAGTGCTCTGGCTTGAGCCTGTTACTGGGAAGAGAGGCGAGTAACACGAGGTATGGTAAACTCGATGTCGACTGAGCTCACATATATCCCCGCTTCCCTGATTCCCTTCACGGATCATGAGAAATGGAAACTTTTTATGAGTGGCCCGATATTCATGAAACGGTGAAAATTCGTTCTGAAAAAGTTAATTGGGTTACTTGAGGGGGGAACTTGTCAGAAAAACACTATGAAGGTTTTCCGTGATGAGGAATCTAACGGTGATAGCAGCATTTCCAAAAAATGCACAGCAACTTTGGGGTAGCAAAAATTTAGGGTGGACCTATAATTATGAAACGCAGTGTACTATTGGGACGCCATGATTCAAAAAAATACGAAAAATCTACAAGATTTTTCTTTCCAATTTCACTTATGTACCCTGGTGTTATAGTGCGTTGTTGATAAAAATTTGGAGAGAAATCATTCGCTTATTATAGAGATACTGAGCGAAAATAGGGTGTACCTATGCTTTTGAGACACACCGTATGTAGGGTAGACCATCACATGATGTAGAGCATCGAAGAGGCAGCTTATGCAGGGCACGGGAAACATCCTCATAATTTATATCGACCCAGTCAATTTTGTGTTTAGGCATTACAGTGTCATCAACCTACCATGGCGTGGTCAGACGTTGAAAAAGGGGTCCTGGACCAAGAGGCTACTTATAAGAGAATCATGGTTTCTAAGAACGAGTAGAGTTTTGAAGTTTTTGAAAGAAGTAAGAAGTACGAGAAGAGTTTTGAAAGGTTAGAGGCACAAACCTCAAGTAGCAATAGTGGATACAGGTCTACATTGAATTTTCCATCAAAAATTTTGTTAGAAACATCACAAAGATTTTTTGCATGGACATGAACAAGGTGAAGTGACCAGAAGCTTTTACAGTTAAACGGAGATTACGGTTACTCGCTGTGGAAGAACATCGTCGAACTAGGGAACAAAAATGTTTTGCGGATGCGCTCTCAATGTCAAGGAATTACCTTTCAGTGAGCAACGGATATCTGAATTGGAGAAAGAATTGCAGTTGGTTGAGGCCGGCAAGCATCCGAAATTTTTAGAAAAACTTCGTGAATTCCAGCAAAAACAAGCAGACGAACTGGAAATGATCGATATCATGTATGAGGTTTGTTCTTGCCCAGTAATCGTGGTATGTTTACATACAATGCCAATTATTAAGAGAGAGAAGGAGGAAATCGAACGAAAATACCATATGGAGCATGCTGCAATTCAACGAGAGCTTAAGGAAAGGGAGGACGATTTGGTTCAGGTATTTGAAAAGGCCGATCCAAGACAGCTTGCATACCAATATGTCGAATTTTCAACAATTTTCATAGGTTCTGAACCTCTACATAATACCTCATATCTTGTTGTAACTCAATTTCAGTACGTCACCGCTAATGAGAGCTCGAAGTACCCTCCGTTTCAAAAACGAGAAGAGCGTCGGGTGCAGACCATACACCACAAGTGACGACGGCCTCCAAGTAAATCTGGTTAGTAGTGGTTCATAGTGATAGCTGATTTTTGGTAAATGATAGTTGTAATTAGTGAAAGAATACAACTGCAGAGGTTATCATTTCATTTACGGAAAACATACCTTTTTTAGAGGCTGTTGTCACTTGTGGTGCATGGTCTGCACCCGACGCTCTTCCTATTTTATAAGTAAAGTGAGCAAACTCCTCACTGACGGTGTTACATTTGGGAGATGGTTCTTGTATCATATTTAGTCTAGTAATGCTGTCTTTAACGATACATCTTCTCAAAATTGATTTTCTTATTTTCCAGACGCTATTACTAGAAGTGGATGATCGAATACGATTCATTGAGGCTGAGGTTGCAGTACTAGATGTGGCTGGACCTGCATGTCCAACCTTCAGCATGAACAAAAAATGCCTTCGACGGTAAGCTGACTATCATTTCCCGAGGATGTTCGAGAGCTTAAGGATGAGCGATACGATTTCGCGAAGAAATGGCGTAGACAAGTCTTTTGCCAGGATGAGAAAGGGCGGAGAAATTTTCGATAGGGGAGGTCCGGTGTTGACAAATTGACTACATACTATGTGTTGGCGTCTCTAATCTTCAAGCTGGTTCGTTCTCAAAATATTTGCAAAAGATTCGGGGTGGAGCATTTTTCGACAAACTTAATAAATCATCTGGTGGTAACCGACTTTCGCGGTTTCAACTTATGCGCAGATAAATTCACATTGAAAAAAATTATGTCCTCTACTCGCAGCGTTTATGTTCCGTTTATGCGTTGATTGTTGAAACTATGCTTCTTTGGCAGGACAAAAAATACTGGCTTGTACGTCAGATGGCCCTGTTAAGTTATCGCATAAGCCAAGCTATATTCATATGCCACACCGATTCTGAAAGAAGTGGAATGCACGGTGCCCCTAATAAGGGGTTGAGAATTTTTGTTGGTTATCCTTTAAGTTTAGCCCTCGGTTCATGAAGGGAATTTCTTGTGGCACTTGCTTGCCACCCTTGAAGTGATATATTTCAAACTTCTTCGAATTCTGTTAGATTTCAGGCGACCACACGACATTCCTACCTCTATAGAAAAAAAGAAAGCGAGGGCTGCCGCTCCAGCTATAATTCACCTTCTTCCCGAGCACATTATAGCGGAAGATGTCAGACTGGTGAGTTCTTCTCTTTAGAGGCATGCCCCAGGATCACATTGGTGTGGCTCTTGCACACGAATGCGAATGTATTGGTGCGAAATGGGCCGGCAGTAAAGAAAAAAGGAAAAGAATCCGTCGAAAACGCTTAGGTTAAGGGCTCACTCACCTTCCTAATCGGCTGTGCTAAGGGAATGAGAGACTAAGCGCGGAGAGGAGAGTATGAGGCGAGAGAGCGCTACAGATGAGAGAGCGCCAGAACAGCCTGATAAAAGAGAAAAAATCTGCAGCTTCAGCAGCTTACTTTGCAAGGCCCAAGCGCTCTTGTCGGTTGGTTTCCGTGCACAGAAACGCCACATTTGTGATTGTCCTCTAGGGGTCTATGCTACATACCAAATAGAAGCGTTCACACAACCTCTGCCAGGGTTGTGCCTTTAACTGATTCCGATTAATAATGAACAGACATTAGTCTAGAAGTTTCTGAAGGACTGCGCGCTATAAATGTAGTTTGCTTCATGTCAAGACGCGCCAACTATCGCACTTTATAATTCTTCAAGTTGGAATTCACTTATCCTGGGCCCAATCAAAGAAACCTGAGCGACTCAATCTGGGGGTTGTGCTTTCTTTCCACCGGCTTCCAATTGGAGTTCATGAGAAGTGCAGAGTATTCGAAGCCGGCAGCGAAGATTTTTTCTGCGGTGTAGTGAAAAACGAAGCTGTATCCGTTTGCATGGTTTAGATCAGCCAAAATTGGATGCTTCAGTCCAACCACTCGGCCGCCACTTGTTGTCGGATAAAAACGTTTTCGATAGACCGAAGCGGTGAACTATTAGAATGGCTCACATTTTCTATGCCACTTCACTCTTTTGCTGTGAAAATCGTTTGAGAATTGTTGAAGCTTTCCGACATGCCTTACAACGTAGCTCACACGTTCGTCAATGCCAATAAGCAAGCACCTCATTGACTCGTTGCCGTCTCCAGCTAAAATTCCAATTTCTTGAAGCTCGATTAGCAGCTCTATTCATGACAACCGAACAGGATCTCGCAAACGCACTACAGTGAGATCAACCGAAAGATGGTTGAGGGCATGCTTCGTCAATACGCGGTGCACTGGTGTCTCACACTGCTCATAGTTGCCTTCTTTTATTTCTTCACACTTCAATCACCCCGTGGCTGGCAATTTCGATGTCACCTAAAAAGAATCTGGGCAAACTGCCTTAATTTGTTGGAACTCTTCCGATGTGTTGAGAAGACAGTACCGAGATATCTCCACAGATTCGTAAAAAGTTGAGAATACGATGTTTGTATGAAACACGCACTGACAACGAATCAGCTCCCAGCACAATCGACATCCAAATGTTCCTGTAGGTTTCCCATAATTCCTTCGATTGCAGTGTTTTAAGGAACTCGTATCAGCCTAGCCTAAACGATCTCGAAGTTCTGGCAGCAAAAGTACAAATCTCCTGTGTCCCATCCCGACGGTGGTGTGGAACAAGAGAGAGGCTTCACACCGGGCCAACACCGAAAATAATAATAAATAGAAGAAGAGAAAAAGTCGACAGCTCCATGACGAGGCTTTCAGATTGGAAACAAAAAGTTTGCTTTTTTCTGCGGTCATTCTACTCCACCTCGCCGTACAGATGAAATCGAAGAAAAATTGGAGACTGTTAAGCTGACAATCCTTTCCGCTCACAAGCAGCCCTGTACTCAAGTGCGTTCCGGCTAATGACTACCTGGTCCCCTCCCTAGTCCCTCTCCAGATGAAGTAATTTCACTCTGATCATCATGATGTCAACATCGACATTCGACTTTTCCCCGACCGGAACTCAAGAAATTCAAACGAAAGGCATGAAAGCACTTGGCGGGCTGACGACGCATTACTACTGATTGTGGTCTGTACCGCTTCGGACAGGGAAAACTCTATTTTATTTATTTATTTATTTTATTATTATTGGATGCACGCGTAGGTGCGCTATACCGGATACAACACAGTACAGCTTATACAGAAAAAAAAGTTTGATAGACCTTAACGCGAATGGAAAAAAAACTACCACATGAACAGAGAAAAACGCCAAGTTTTGTTTTTTTTTTCAAAATTTTTTTTATCGGCCGAGTTGTTCTTAGACTATACACAAAATCACTTTTGTAAGAATCTAGGTAGGCGGATGGCGCTAGGGATAACGCCACTCCTTGACGACTATGGCATATATGTACAGAATCCGAAACTGAATTTTCGGATGTTAGGTATTCCCTAGCCCTAACAATTCAGTTTCGGACCCGCCTGCAGAATAATTTGATCTAGAACACCTCGAAACTTACACGAAATTCGGTAGTTGTAGAAGAAATGAAGAAAAAAGTAGTATAATCTTAAAGCAACCAAGGTAGCTCAGAAGGTATGACAGGCTAATACATATGAACTACTACAAAATAGCTTTTCGAGCTTGTTTCATTTTATGAATTCAAACTTCTTTGACAAATTCCAATTTGCACTCTTTTCAGTTGGTTCCTGCCGAAAGCATTCCAAGTGTGGTCCAACATCATAAAGTCAACCTAGATAACGGGAAATTGATCTACGAAGGAAAAACGTTAGTTAAAGCTACCTTTTTGTTCATATTTATATCTATGTACATTGAATTTGCAAAGACGTCTTGGCAATGCATATGTACGTATTAGGTTGCAAGGGAAGTTCTTGCCGTTTTCCATAGTTGAAGTTTCAAGGATTTATTTCTCGCTAAATTCTAATTCTCGCTAATTCGTCAGAAAACTACACACTGTATGTTAGGGATCGCAATTCTTGCTCTATCCTACCACACTCTCAGCTTTGCTCGAGATCTAAAGATCCCATTCTTTCAAAGCCTTGAATACAACATGCTCGAAGGACGAGTAATTGACCATTTCTTTTGTTCAATGCTTTCGTGGAAAAGTTTGTTTAGCCAAAGGGGGAGGGGCCTTCTTGGTGTCCGTACATATAATCAGTAGGGTCCAGTAGGGAACCGCTCTGGTCAACGGTCACCAAAAAAATCTCGCATGACGTGTTCGGCCCAGCTGATCTTCAAACCATAGACTTAACGGCTGCTCATTGACTGTTCCTCTGCACTTGCTTGCATTGAGTGTGCCCATACATCGCTTCTCCTGTGCGTTGAATCTTACGCTAATTACGTGATGGTCCTGCACTGAAGACAACTTCCTGCAGCTCAGGAAGGAATGCAAGCTAGGAGGTACGGGGTGGAGTCGGTGTTTTCAACGCTAGGAGGTACGGGGTGGAGTCGGTGTTTTCAACATACGCTATTTCTTCGATACTCTTGTATGCTCTTCATGCTGCTCGTTTTCTCCTGCCCAACTCAAGAGCAGTCATTCATTAGCTGATGTAGCGATCTAACTACATGTAGCTGCAGCATACGATGTTCCGTTCTGCGCCAAGGAGACATCAGTAATGGGCCAGTTTCATGAAGGTCATCTTCGTTGAATTCAACTTCAGACCGGGGTTTCCACATGCGAAAGCAGCCAGCATTCGCCCTAACCAGGAAGGTCTTTCAGGGCGTGACGAAGCTTTTTGAAAACGGTCTTTTGCATGATATAGGGGCAGATGCGGGAACCACAGAACCATGTTTAATTTTTCCTGAACGGCCCTCTGAATACCAGAAAAGGGAGGTCCCTAGTTCGATTCCTCTTGGTGACAAATTTTTGCATTTCGAGTTGACGTTCCAAAATTCGCGCAAAATGGAGTTCTGATTGTTCTGGTTGGTTCTAACTCCATTTTGCGCGA